CAAACCCAATCTATTTATTTATTTATTTTAAAGAAAATAATTTTAACTTTGGGTAGCTCCCCAAGTGTGTGGAGGCCTCAAATATTCAGATTTATGCCTAAAATTTTTTTGATATCTATCATGAGACATGTGCAGCTGTAGTTCAGAGGAGCATTGAGCACCTGCCTAATCTTCAGACTTCAAAAGGATTTACACTTGTGCTTTGGTGTTCTCCTGAACAGAAACACATTCCTGGAGTCTTGTGTTGGGTCTTCATGGCGACTTCCCCCACAGTAAGAGTCTGCTTAAAACAAAAAACAACCAGCCAAGCAGCCTTGCTCTCTCGGCTGCCTGGGAAGTTTAACCTCACATCACAAGGTGCAGGCTTGTTCTGACGGCACAGCCACGATGCTTCACCTCCCTGCAGCGCTGCTTTTCATTTTGAATCGCAGCTTGTCAAAGGAAAAAAGCTAACCACAATTTCAGCAGACAGCATATGCAGAGCTCAGGATTTACTTAAGTGTCAAATAATACAAACAAGGTAGCAATTCAGAGCTCAATGCAAATAAACACTGGCCTGAAATCTTTTCCTGGGATATATAATGTCAACTCAGCCCAAAATTTTAGGCACGCTATATTATTTGACTTCAACTGCCCCCTTTGCAGTTTTTTCTTCGCTGCTAATCAGGATCGAATGTAATGGATTTTCCAATGCTTTACAGATTAAGGGGATTCTCTGGTTTGGGCTGGACCTGCAGTGACATCTTGTGGTCCCCCACGAGGCAGGGCACTGGCTGCCAGGCAGCACAGCCCCCCTGACCCGAACCTCACACCGGTACCCCTGCAGCACAGCACTGACCCACACAAATCTCCCAGGGGACTTACCTCCACCCGGGCAGGCTGAACGGCCAAGTGTGGAAACAAACACGCCCCTCCTCCTGCCACATCCCTTCCCTTTCACCTGCAGCACCAGGAGAACATTCAGAAATCATCCTTTTGTGCATGAAGATAAACAAATCATGAAAATCAGATCATTGCACGGAGAGCCTGTGGATGGGCCATGTTTGCCTGAAAAACCTGGGTACTTTTAACTTGAGACAAGGAGAGGAATTAATCATCTGCCTCATCCCATGTTTGTGCCTGCCTGAGACTCACACATGAGCAGGATGCTTTGTGTTTTGCCACTTTTGTTGTGACTCCTAAATGATTTCCCATGAAAACCAACATGCTTGCTGTTGGTTTCTTAATAGAGGAAATTAAATCCAACATTTCAGTGTTATCTGATTTCCCATCACGGTACACCATTGTATAATTTCACCACCTACTCATTTGTTTTCTTCACACACAAGTGCCAATAGAGAAAATACAATCCTTGGAAGAATATATAGTCAGAGAAAGGTTGTAATCAGTTTGGATAGAAAACAGACAGTTAATTTGCTTGAAAAAGGGGGAAGGGAGGAGGAAATGAAAGGGAATAATTTCTTTCCCATGAACTTAGGGCATCAAAAAATTCTATGGCAAAACTATAGCATGACAAGGAAAATAGTTGAAAAACGTAATGGGAAGCACTGCTCCTGAGCCATTGCACTAAAAATAACATGAAAGCCAAAGTAAAGATCTGACTCATTAGGTGTCTTCTGTGGTCATAAAAAAAAATAAAATAAAATAAAAATAATTACAGGAAAAGACTCACAAACTTTTCCCAGGGCAAAATAACTAGATGTCCCATGAAAATCATTAGAGATATCAACATTTAAGGTCAGATAAACAGTAATTGAGTCATGCCAGGAAAACGTGCAGAAATTAAGACACCTAAAACCAACAATGGGATTTGAAAAGCTCCTCCACACTGTCTAATCCATCAAAATACTCAGTGCTGGGAAATAGGAGAAGCATGGCTCACTACTGGGGCATGGAGTTTAGGGATTATCCCAACAGCCTGTCCTCTTGAGCACCTTCCTCCAGCCCTTTTACTGGACTTGGCTCGTAGTGCACAGGAGCACCAGTCACAGGCCAGAACCTCATTCTGCCAGGGTCTCTGCAGGCAGATGGTCCCTGTGAAGGCAAGGAAAGCTCATCGTTATGTTATGCAGAAATGCGGAAGCTGTCCTCCATCTCATACACCTCTGCAGGGAGTCAGCTTAAGTTTAACAAGAGCATGTGATCACAGGACTAGCACTTATATTTCTTTTTCTTGACTATGTGTAGCTATTCTAACTTCCTTATAGGCATCTATGCAAGTTTCACAGCAGTTTACCGTCTAAGACGTTATGCAAATATAGTTAGGAATCTTTAATATATTTTCCAGTTCATTTCAAGTTATTAAATAAAGTCAAAGACAATCTTTCTCCCAGTCCTTTGACAGCCCTTGAGAACAGGATAGTGTGATCAGTCCTCTACTCCAATCATTTGGAGTAGAAAAAAACGTTCACAGAAATAAGAGAAAGGCCAGCTGGAGAGAAGGTCAGAAGATTGTCCAGGGCAGTCGCCTGCCCCAAGGCAGGATTCACCTCAGGCTAAAGCATTTTCATCAGATATGTGCCCGATTGCCATGCATGTCCAAAGAGCCCCCCTTGACGATCTCTTCCAGTGCTCCACAATCTTTCCTGTTACACGGTTCCTCCCTAGTGACTAATCTAAATCTTCTTTGATTCAATAAGCCTATTATTTCTTGTTCTAGCCACCATGAACATAAAAGACAGTGAAAAGACGAAAGGAATAAATTGTTCTCTTTGTGTCTGGAGACTTGTGTTTCCTTCGAGTATGCTATGGGCAAACCTACTCAAACTTCTTCAGTGATCTTTTATTTCTCATTCTCATGTATTTATGTTCTCATGCTTTCTAGATTTCCGTTAAATCTCCTTGCTCTTCTCTTCTCTGATCTGTCTCTGGGTTTTCCTAACAAGTATGACATCGAAAACTAGACCTGATACTTCACCTGATGCCTCTCCAGAGCTGAACAGAAAGAGGTATTTTATGTCATATGGATGATACAGTTATTATACGTCTCAATGCTTTTGTTCATTTTATAGCATCACTGTGTTGTTAGGTCACAAAATGAATGCCAGCCAAGCACCTGACCTTTTTCTGCCAAGCTGACCTTTAATACCTCTCTTTCCTGTTTGCAAAGATTGTCAGTTCTGTCCAATTTCTCAAGATTATTTTGAATCCTAATTCCACCCTTCAACATGCTTGCAACCTCGCCTGCCTCAACAAGCAATACAAAACTGTCTCTTTTTTCCCTGCTATATATCCTGCCTGAAATAGATCACAAAGCAGTCACAAAATCTCTCTTGTGCATATGTATCCTGCAATCCAACAATCACTGCTTATGCTCTTTTTTTTTTCTGCACTCCCCCAAAAAAGAAAAATAAAGACACAAAGTTATTTGTTTGTTTGTTTTTTAAAAAAATTATTTTTATTGTAAGCACTGGTAAGAAAACATAAAACAGTGAAACAGTAGACCATCTTTCCCCACAGGGACATGTATAGGCACCTATGGCATGTTTGAAAAGTGTGGGTGCTATAAAAGAAATCTCCACACGTGTAAAGAGATTTTACAGTTTTAAAACTGATTTGTAATTATATTTAAGACAGTGCTGTCAGTATTTGCTAAAGAAAGCTCAAATATAATATTAAGAGGAAGAGAGAATAGGAAGACCTGCTCAATGCTTTAACCACAGTTCTTTTCCTCTCTGACTTGTTTTTCATTTTTACATTAGGAGGAGCAGGATTTGAACCCATGTTGGAAACAGTTCTGTATTTAAGTCAGTGAAATTAAGTGGTTATTTCACATTGCCTAGCACAGTAATTACTGTTCTTTCACTTTTTAGATTAGACTATAAAAGCCCAATCTGCTTGCTTCAGAGTCCCGCAGTTGAGCAACGCAGCACCAGGGGACTGGATTCAGTGCACCAAAGCCATTGACTCCTACTGTCCTGACTAAAAAGTGTTAAGGGATGAATTTTACATTCACAGTGATAAAGTTACTGCAAGCTTTGGTAAAGGCATTAAAGTGAAAAAAGGGTTGTTCAGCACCTTGATTTCTCATGAAACTAGAGCAAAGAGGGAAATTAAAAACAATTCAAAATATGAATACAAATTTACATTAAAATTCAAGCTATTATAAATCTTCTTAGTTCAAGTTCTTCTGTCATCAGAAAAAGTTATTTATACCATAGCAAATAGAAGTCCCACATTTTAAGGCCATTTTTCCACCTTTACCATTTAAACTTTTGTTTCCATTTTAAGCAACTAGTAAGCTGAGGTTAACTTATGCAATAAACTCACTCCATTCAGCCATGCTGGAGTCACACCAGTGCTAGTTCTGCTCTCAGTCACACCATGGTAAATACCACCTTCGCTCACACTGGCATAAATTCTTCACTCTGTCAGATGGAAGAGATAGACTACTGCCCAACTGTCAGGAGCTTCATGAGGTCCTGCAAGGTATCCACAGGAAAATGATACGATCACTTGCACTGCCTTTGTGGACTTCAATAGGAATGGAAGAGTTCCTGGTGACTTAAAGGAGTTTGTCCCAAACAGGAATATCTGTAAACATAGTAATAACTCATGGAAGATACCTTGTGCAAAGAAAGGGGAAAAAAGAGCTCATATGGAGCAACAGAGAAAATCT